TAAATCTATGTCCACAGAGATCACAACTGAAAGGTTTCTGCCCTGTGTGGATTCTCAGGTGTGAGTCTAAATGTGCTTTTCGGCTAAATTTGTTACCACATACGTGACAACAGAAAGGCTTCTGTCCTGTGTGGATTTTTGTATGTTTGCTTAAACTTGATTTATCATAAAATCTATGTTCACAGAGTTCACAACAGAAGGGCTTCTGTCCTGTGTGGATTCTCATGTGTGTGTTTAAATGTGCTGTTCGGCTAAATTTATGTCCGCAGACATCACAACAGAATGATTTCTGTCCTCCGTGTGTTCGCATGTGTGTGTTTAAACTAGATTTCATGTTAAAGCAATGTCCACAGATTTCACAACAGAAAGGCTTCTGTCCTGTATGGATTAACATGTGTGTGTTTAAATGTTGTTTTTGGTTAAATCTATGTCCACAAAGATCACAACAGAAAGTTTTTTGTCTTGTGTGGATTGTCATGTGTCTACTTAAATTAGATTTTTCAGTAAATTTACGTCCACAGAGGTCACAACAGAAAGGTTTCTGTCCTGTGTGGATTCTCACGTGTGCGTTTAAATGTGCTTTTCGATTAAATTTATGTCCACAGACATCACAACAGAAGGGCTTCTGACCTGTGTGGATTCTCATGTGTGTGTTTAAACTACATTTATGGTTAAAGCAATGTCCACAGATTTCACAACAGAAAGGCTTCTGTCCAGTGTGGATGAACATATGTGTGTTTAAATTTTGTTTTTGGTTAAATCTATGTCCACAAAGATCACAACAGAAAGGTTTCTGGCTTGCGTGGATTCTCATGTGTCTATTTAAATTGGATTTATCAGTAAATTTATGTCCACAGAGGTCACAACCGAAAGATTTCTGTTCTGTGTGGATTCTTGTGTGTTTGTTAAATCTTGATTCATCAGTAAATCTACGTCCACACACATCACAACAGAAAGGTTTCTCTCTTGTGTGGATTCTCATGTGTCTGTTTAAATGATGTTTTCTAATAAATGCTTTGCCACAGTCTTCACAGCTAAACTTCTCTCCTGTTTTGACCTTCCTTCTTGAGACACCAATTTTGTTCTTTGTAAAACATTTCTTAATATCCAGCAACCCTGGAGACGCCATTTCTGAATTTGGTTTCCTAACAAGTTCTCCATCTGACTCAGGAGCTCTGGCCATGCCTTTGGTTTTTAGTCCAGAGTCTGACAAGTGTTTCAGCTCTACATCATCGTCCTCTTCATCCTTCTTGGTGTCTTCAGACTCTGAGAAGTTGGAATCATCTTTATAATCTTCTGTCTTGATGAAATCTCCACCATTGTTTTCTTCTGGAAGTTCTCTGTCTTTAATTTGGCCTTGATAAAGCTGTGAGAGCAGAGGGGATTGTTCATCATCCTCACTCTTTATGGCACTTTCTGTCTCCTCCTTCACATTTCGCAGCTCTTCCCCCTGACTGATCCAGACTCTCTCCTCTTCCCCCTGACTGATCCAGACTCTCTCCTCTTCCTCCTTTATGTGGTACGGCTTTGCGTCATCCAGGTCCACATTAGGTTTTTGGTCTTCTGGGGCTTCTTCTTTAACCATCAGTATCTGCTTAACATCTGCAGGAAAAACTAAAACACATTATGCATATGAGAAAGTATTTACGCTGCATTTTAAGTAACTCAAGAAACTGCACAGGCAACTGCTGGTTTCTGACAACATCTCGGCCTATGGGAAGGTTTTTCTTGACGAAAGCTATGCACAGTGATGCGACTGATAAAACCAGAGACCTTCACAAAAAATTATTCAAAATATACTGTACAAATGGAAAACTTTGTATTTATGTTTCTAAACTTCTGAATGGTCCACTGAGTGCTGATAGATCCAAAATCCTGGACTGGAAAGAACAATTTGACCTTTAAACACCATGTGCCCCTGGTAAGACTTCTGATAGAGGAGTAATCAAAGGTTTTATTGGACAACTCATACAATTTTTTTTTTAATGCGAGTCCAGAAGAACTCACAGACAGTAGCAGAAAGACCTGGAAATTAACAGGTTCAGTAATGGAGAAATATCAATATGGCTGCAAAGAACTGAATAAAGTAAAGTGTCCTTTAAACCTAAACTTTACCTACAAAGTTCTATCAGATGGTAGTCTTAACAGAACTGAGACATCTAGATAATTCAACAAGCAACAAAATTTCAACAGCAATAGCTAAATGGGTGACTACCCATTAAAAACTGATTAACATTGTGGAGGATGAGGGTCTAGTTGAAATAATATGCCTAGCCTCCAATGACCACACCCAACAATTACCATCAAAAACCTCTGCAGTATCCAAGATACATAACTGGAAGAGGAGAAAGTCAAAGCAGAGGAGGCTTTGGAAGAGACAAATATTGTGGCGCTAAAGAGGCACTACTGGATGTCCGTAAGGAATCACAGTTACCTCAGGGTATCACCACATTATATTGGAGTACAGTGGAAACCTCAGTCACATCTCTGACTGATATGAACATATAAGAGAGGCACACACTATACAGATGGTAAAGCTTAAATTTGTGTTTCTAAACTTCTGAATGGTCCACTGACAGTGGTAGATCCAGCTATTACATAAACACATGTTCAAGTACTTGATTTCACTTCTTTTATTCAGTAGTTTTCCGACATGTATTGAGACTTACTAATGATGGTGGACTCAAGGTTCACACAGACAGACTGAGGGATGTGATTTCCAGAACCGGTCTCCATGAAGAAGGTGTTGGAGGAATCTCCTCTTCCAGAGGTTTTGTCTGTAGGCATCAATAAGTCCGGCTGGATGCGATCTGGCTCCCAACAACCAGCGTCAGTCTGAACACCAATCAAACATGTCATTTGGCATCAAAGTGGGACACTAAACCATTATATAGCCAACCAATGGATTCAGAACAGGCAATGTATCTGGTAATTGACACATGGCCAATAAAACCATCTGGCCAAGTTGAGAAAAAGGATTAACAATTGCTAAAAGATATGGCTGTGAAAGGGTGAAGGAACGCAATCTAAATAAATGTTTGCCTTTAACAACAGAAAGATGAATGAACTGTCATATCAGTCCCAGGAAACTCTCTTCCCGTTAACTGGGCACCACGTTTGAGCCATTGCTGATGCTAGTGTTGTCAATAATGATCTAAACAGTTAGCGTGAGTAGCAGTAATGTCACTAAGCACCCCATGTTTTAAACCAGGGGTTCCCAAACTTTTCCATGCAATGGCCAACCAAACAGTATTAGCTTCTGGCCAAGGCCCCACATGGAAACCAACAAGCAATGCTATAAAAAATGAAAATAAACATAAATTTTTAGAATGTTCTAACTTCTATTCAACATTCACTTAATTATTACACTTTATGAGCATTAAAATGCTAACATGTTTTAAACACTGTATTATATTCCCTCTGAAAAACAACAATAAAAAGGTATGAGTGGTTTAGAGTTGATCACCTGTTCGGGTTGTTTTACCTTTGTTTACCTTTGCTGAAGTTTCAAATGGCTTCTACTGCGATAATTATGTGAAATTAAAATAATTGTCCAATATTATAAAATATTGTTTGGGCATCTTGCTTTGAGCTCATAGTCTGAGAGGCTTTTCCTCTATCAAACTATTTTTTGCTTCTTATTTAGTGG